GCTAAAACATTATGTGTTCTTTAAGGCTATTTTTAAGATTTATAGTGTATTATAAGTATTTAAATATGGTGGCTATGACATAACACACCAGTCCCTGTTGGATAACCAGGCTTGGAGCCAGCTCCACCTTTCCCACCAGGGAGTCCAGCACCTCCACCAAAACCACCATAACCTTTGGCATAGCAGGTGAGAATTAGCACGCAAGCTCATACACATCACACACAAGGTATTCAGCACATGCATGTGATCAAGGTCATCACTGTAGCCTACCGTATGGAAGTTTACCACCAGTGTAGGGTAACCCAGCACCTGTTAGGACAAGTCATAACATAAGACTTATCGAGACATACTAAAGATATACCAAAAATACCATGCCAACAAATGTGTTGTATCCTGTACATATTATAGCTATTCACAACAGTAGAGTTCGGCGAGAACTACAGTAACACATGGCCAGTATTTAAACAAAGAGCACATACAGATAAAATGCTACAGATAAAACTGCAAACTATTAGATGATAAATAAGCCTCTGAATGATTTCCGTTGACGTACAAGCTCACTTTCACATAACCTGTAAAGCATTAAACCATTGAAGTTGACCACACATTTTTATCAACATTGTATCCTGTTTTTATCAGAACAAATATGCAAGTTTGGAAAAGCTCTCTTCCACTAGAGGCTCACATATTAATACTGCAATCAATTTCTCCTTATTTCACTGGATGAATTCCTAGTCCATTGTTAAGGTTGATAGCGCGCAGATAAGAGAGACATGAAAATATGTACTTCATTTCAAGCTTCAAACGGAAACATTTATGAAAATATTTTCAGTTGGGACTATGAAAACTATGACTATGAACTTTGTCAAGGCACTTTCCCAAGTGAGATGTCACTTTCCAGAGAGCACATCGTCCATCTGAGGTTAGTGCTAGAAACAAATTAATTCGACTTAATTCAACTTCAACTGCTGAAACTCCATGTAGAAGAAATCACACAACGTTTCGGTGCACCAGAGAGCAATCTACCACATAAATGGATGACTAGCGATGCAAGTCTAAACACTGATCCAATATAGCTGGGTTTCATCTGGAGCATTTGATGAAAGACATTCTTACTTTCTTAATTCTATCAACCTCATATTGTGTTGCTTAATAGCTGTAAAACCACAAATGCAATCAGTCTGCAAATGCTTCTTTTCAAGGCGTGGCAGAGCTGGGCTGAGCACGATTTGTGCAGTCTGATCAAAAGAATCAAATGTTCCACCTGGGGCTTTGGGAGATTTGAGAGGGTATCCGTGAAATACTCCTTGTTGCAGTGGTCCATATCCACGCCCACCTACAACAAAAGGATCATTTGTTTGGATGTCAACAGACAATGTAAACTTTTTGAACACAGGTGTTGTTCAGATTTGCAGATACTTCCACACTGTCCAGATATCATTGTTAATATTCTGTTTACATGGTTGCTGTATGCTCATGTACTAACCACCACCTGGTACCAGACCCTGCCCTCCACCAGCAGCTATAGGAAAGATTCAGTCAGTCATAAATATATGGTAGAGTTTATTTCACTGCAATGACTGATGTCATTTTCATTGAGCGTTTACCTGATTTAGGTTTGAGTCCAGTTCCTGTGGGTACACCAGGAAGAACACCCCGCCCATTGAAGCCTGTAATCATTTAAATCCAAGTGATCAAGACCAAATGAAGGCCATGTGTGCAATTTTAATTTGGTGTTTTATCCAAATGACTGATTAGCAGGCCTGCACTAAATCTGTGAGCACACAGATGTCTGGAGAAATCATTCAGGTTCTACACATACCTTTGTTTATGAGATGTCTTGGCTAATTTGAAAATGGCCCAAATTAATTCTATACACATATGCGCAATTTACATTTCATGCATAATTTCTGCTTGTTCCTGCCAGCATTAGAGTCTTCTATGGCGTGCTTTCTACTTTAGGTCAACTGCTGTTATGGAGGAGTCAATCTTGCTGAGCAAGTCAAAGAAATTAAAATTAAGTTGAACAGTCTTTAGCAAGCTACCTGAATAATCCATTACACACTGTGAAGGTAACTCGATCGCACCCTTGAGTGTTGCAAGAATTTGTAGGTTTGCATTCTTGCATATAATATGTTTCTAGCCTAAGCGTGTAGCATCTTCAGCTCAGTTGTACATATTTTGCCAGGAGTAGATCAATTTCACAGAATTCGGCATATGTTCCCCACAATCCGCACCATAAATGTGAAAAACGTTAGCAGAATCCTTGTGGGCCTAGTGGTCCTATTACAGTACATGAACAGAAGAAAATGAACAAACCTTGTCCATGAACAAGTCCTCCTTGATAAGGTCCAGGCACTCCCACTCCTGCAAAAAAAACAAGATCGAAAAGTTGATCTATAATCATGCTTATTTCCATGTACAGATACAACTTCAAACCCCCACACTCACCTGGCACTGGAGCTTTCCCGGGCTTCGCGGCTTTTCCCCCAGGTCCAACCCCACCAGGGCCCAGTCCTTGATTTGCAGATACTTCCACACTGTCCAGATATCATTGTTAATATTCTGTTTACATGGTTGCTGTATGCTCATGTACTAACCACCACCTGGTACCAGACCCTGCCCTCCACCAGCAGCTATAGGAAAGATTCAGTCAGTCATAAATATATGGTAGAGTTTATTTCACTGCAATGACTGATGTCATTTTCATTGAGCGTTTACCTGATTTAGGTTTGAGTCCAGTTCCTGTGGGTACACCAGGAAGAACACCCCGCCCATTGAAGCCTGTAATCATTTAAATCCAAGTGATCAAGACCAAATGAAGGCCATGTGTGCAATTTTAATTTGGTGTTTTATCCAAATGACTGATTAGCAGGCCTGCACTAAATCTGTGAGCACACAGATGTCTGGAGAAATCATTCAGGTTCTACACATACCTTTGTTTATGAGATGTCTTGGCTAATTTGAAAATGGCCCAAATTAATTCTATACACATATGCGCAATTTACATTTCATGCATAATTTCTGCTTGTTCCTGCCAGCATTAGAGTCTTCTATGGCGTGCTTTCTACTTTAGGTCAACTGCTGTTATGGAGGAGTCAATCTTGCTGAGCAAGTCAAAGAAATTAAAATTAAGTTGAACAGTCTTTAGCAAGCTACCTGAATAATCCATTACACACTGTGAAGGTAACTCGATCGCACCCTTGAGTGTTGCAAGAATTTGTAGGTTTGCATTCTTGCATATAATATGTTTCTAGCCTAAGCGTGTAGCATCTTCAGCTCAGTTGTACATATTTTGCCAGGAGTAGATCAATTTCACAGAATTCGGCATATGTTCCCCACAATCCGCACCATAAATGTGAAAAACGTTAGCAGAATCCTTGTGGGCCTAGTGGTCCTATTACAGTACATGAACAGAAGAAAATGAACAAACCTTGTCCATGAACAAGTCCTCCTTGATAAGGTCCAGGCACTCCCACTCCTGCAAAAAAAACAAGATCGAAAAGTTGATCTATAATCATGCTTATTTCCATGTACAGATACAACTTCAAACCCCCACACTCACCTGGCACTGGAGCTTTCCCGGGCTTCGCGGCTTTTCCCCCAGGTCCAACCCCACCAGGGCCCAGTCCTTGTACCCCGGTCTGAGGAATGACAAGGCCTAACAAACAATTGAAAGGTCAGAGTACCTTAGACCAGACTATCACTGCTGGCTAATCATTCAAATGAACTCATGCCAGTATTTGCTAAATATACATTCACTGCACCTGGGAGGCCAGAACCAGGACCAGTTCCTCCTGCACCTGGCCCTGAACGAACACAAGCACACATTCAGTTAGATCACTAAACACATTAGGTGCAAATCTGGCCTGCAGATATTCCTTACGCTTCCTTAGTGATTTAGTTTGCCTCACTTGTTCCGTCCCTCTGACATAAAACAAGTCATCTTATCTGATTCAAGTGCCTGGAAGCTGATGTTTCAGGCTGTTCATTTATTTGTTTAACCCTTTTCCAACCGATATCAAACACAGAAGAACAGACATTGCATGCTGCTTTTAGATTGTGCCAAGGACATGCTGAAGTAATGTGCTGGCTTTCGGTACATGAACACCACCAGCGGGGTCCCAGAGGGACACGTTTGTTTATTTGGCTCATGATCTAAGGCTCCTTGATTCAACTTCAAGCCAACTGGAGTACCATGAAAAGAGTCATAGCCACGTGAACACCAACAGAGTAAGTTATTTGGAAAAGGTGTTAAAAAGAGACCTGTATGTTTTTATTGTATGAATGTTTCCTCTGAAAATGAGGTCAGATCCCCACCTACTTTTTCCTTTTCGATTCTTCTCGAAAGACGTTTAATTCACAATGTGTTTGTACAATGGAAACAATGGACTCTGAAAGATGTGTATTACCTCCTTTAGCAGGCTTTCCACCAGCACCTGAAGCAAGAGAATCAGACTTAGAAAAGAGCTGTGTAGTTTTTGTTACTTAGCCACAAAGAAAATCCAAATCATTATTAATAGGCTTGTTGGATGAATGGCACCTCCAGGTAGACCTCCTCCAGGTAGACCTCCTCCAGGTAGACCTAAAGAGAAGGCCTAATGGTTATATGTAATTACTTGACTGCACTTTAACCACTGCTGACTATTCACTGGATGATGAGCACCTGGTTTAGCCGGTTTCAGACCTCCAGCCACTGGGTAAAATCTTCCAGCACCACCATATGCACCATAAGCACCATAACCATAACCACCTACAGTAGAAGAGACATACAGCAACAAATTCAGAAAACCTGGATGCCAGGTATGGAAATTTACTGGCATTAAAAGTGTCAGCAATTTTAACATGGTTAACTTGAGGATATTGAGGACAATGTACCATTTTATTGAAGGAATGTTCTGGGTTCAGTACAACTCAATCAGCAGCATTTGTTGCTTTTCAACTTTTTGGTGACACTTTATTTTGATAGCCCACTTTAGCATTCTACTGACTATTAGTAACTTTACAACTACATGTCAACTAGCAGTTATTAGAGTATCAGTAGACTGTCTGCTTAATATCTGCTGACACTTTATTTAGAAAGTCCACCAACTTATTCTACTAACCCTAACAAAAAGTAGAGAGAAGACAATGAAATTATAGGAAGCAGCATGGAGGCTAAATCTGTGGAAGCCTCTAAGCAGTGTAGTGAATGTTCTGCAAATACAGTGACTATTGTGACCATGAGTATGCCTCTCTAGAGCATTTGAATTCATGATTCTGGATAGTGGAATAACAAGTTAGGAGTGATATCTAATAGGAAGGATTTCACATATTAATCATTATGAATTATGAAGATGATCTGCCCCCATCCCCAAATGGCTTGGACTGTAAATGCTATGGAGTGATTTAGCAATGAGACTGGGAGGGGCTGGATGGGAAAGAATGAAGAGAGAGAACAAAAGACAACACATTTTTAAAGAGATGGAAAGTGAGGGCTCAGAGGCTACAGTGGATCTCTTTGGCTAAGTAAATGAGGAGTTAGCTTGATTGAAAAGTGTCCTCCTTCAACAAGGAAACCCTAAACAAATGAGGTCACGAAGTTTGCATCCGTATTTTATGGTAGAGGGAGGAATACAGGAATGGAAAGGATGTGCAGCAAAATGCTTTGCTTATGAGTCTTTCTTTTGCCTTGTTGCCATTATAAATCTGAGAGTAGCTTTAAAAGCCTCTAAATTCTGGTGTTCGAACTTCTGACACAAGAGAAAGAGATGAAACTTTTTATAGTGGCTGATGGCAAAAGGAGGCTACACACTCGTGCTTTCCAAGCATAGTTTGCTGAGGGTCACAGACAACAGATCATTAACTTCATAAATCCACATTGCTCTGCTGAACAATGCCACAATTGTACAGAGCTGAGGATGTAACCATATTTTGGCCTGTTATGGAATATTAAACAGCTTGTCTACATTTGGCTCCAACCTTTTGGATCAATTAAATGTCTAGTATAAGCTAAAGAAAGGTCTCTGCTAATCTCAGCCTCAAGCAACATACCCACAGACAATGTCAACAGACTGAAATCATCAGTTCCAATGTGACTTAGCACTACACTAAAATAAAGGGAATGTTTTTGCTGTAAAAGAAGCTTTGTCTTGAGCATCTGGTGTGACCCCCTTGATCATTAATATTAGTAAACAAACATTTCCAGTAACTGCGGACCAGTCCTGCACATCAGCTTAAGTGAATTTGACTTGGCCATCCGGAAACGTTTCATTTCTTCTGCTTTAACCTTTCAGTGGTAGACCCACTTGAATGTGTTTATGGACACCCTGAAGACATTCTTCGGAAAATGTTCTGATATAACACAGAACACATAGTTTCATCAATGATGGCAAGCTGTCCTGGTCCAAAGACAACAAATCAGCCCCAAAACATCATACTGCCCCAACTGTGCTTCACCAGGAAGAGTTTTGTTGTAACCAAATCTAATGGTTCTCATTTACAATCAAAGTTCTGTCTACTCAATGGTCCACAAAATGTTCTTTCTCATTCACATGGTCTTAGGAACATTTGAGGTCAGTAGAAATGTTCTTCTTGTAGAGCTGTGGCCTCCTCTGTGCTGTCTTGCCTGATTGTGAAGAAATCACACCAACTTTAGCCATTTCAAGAGAGGCCTCTAGATCCTTAGATGCTGTGCTCTGGGGTTTTGTGACCTCCTAAAATGTTATATGTTTTGCTCTTGGAGTGATTTTTGTTTGGACAAGCATGCCTAGGCAGAGAAACAGTGGTGTTAAATTTAGGAAATGTTTTCATTTGAACAATATATGCTATGATATTAAACTGTTTTTGTTTTTTTCACTTTGAAAAGCATCTTTTTTTTCTGGAAATCAACAGTGCGATGACAGGATTGTTTGATGATGTCATCACTACCATGCTGTTCAGAGCATGCAGAGTACTAGTATCATATACTGTTTAAAGTCTCTCCATATGTTACATATTTTTCTCTTGGCTGTTTACTCTTACGCTGCTGGCTGTTGTGTAATTGATCAGGTTCAGCCTTCATGCATAATTAATTATCAGTGCAATATATCATCAAATCATACAGTATATTTTGTGAATGGCCGCTCAAGTTGTATTTATGACTGGGAACCTCTGGGATAATTTTGATACCCAAGTTTTCAAGTTGGGTGGGCCACAGGCGTTAAACATGGCAGAAGGCAGAACTATTGCTGTAGTGACTGTTAAGTTTTATTTGTTTTTCTCACAGCATTTGCATTGCTTTATCTTGTCTATACAGTAATGTATATTTATGTATATAAATAAGTATTTGATGCATATTGTATGTTTTTGTTGTTTGTTTTTTTACACAGTAAAACAACATTTATTTGGATAATACAATGGCATTATTTTTCAAGACAAAAAGCCCAAGAATGCAGACCCCCCCCCCTACATTGAACATACAGACAATTCAGTGCAGTTTCCAGCTGAAATAAACACTAGTGCCAATAAAACATCAATAACTTATTCCTTTTCACACAAATCATGATTACAGAGGCAGATTATCCATTAATGACACTTATTTTTGCACAGTTCTTTGCACAATACTACTGTATGTTATGAGCTCATAATTCTTTTAACTAAAGCATTTTAAAATTTTGTAATGTCCCATGAGACGCAAGTCACATTGAAAGAGCTCAAAGACTTGTAGTAGCAAGTTAAAAGGGTGTAGTTGCTTTGTTTGTGTCACGTTTGCTTTTGTTAACACTACTGGTTAGATTCAGGGTAGGGTTTAGTGTAGGTGTGAATGCGACACCTACAAAAACCAACAATAAAATGTTTCCAGATTCATGTTCATCTGATTTGGTGAAAGTTAAATGCTCTTTTAGTGCCACTCACTGGACATTTTGCTCTAAAAGTGCCAATAAACATGCAAGAAGCAACATAATGTCATAAGAAATATCAAATGAGCCTAGGCTGATTATTTCAGAAAAAACTTGCTTCTAAACAGCTCGTAATAACAAAAAAGTACACTGGTCGCTTTATTTTTAAGTCAGCCAGACATCTCTAAGTGGACAATTCTGGGCCAGAATAAGCTGTAAAATGGGCCAAACTTCATGATAAAAGTTGGGCTGTGTGACACTACTGAAAGTCCCCTCTAGCACATCTGAACTCACAGAGGCTCAAGAAATGTGGAATGCTCTTGGATTAACTGTGGCTAATTTCCTTTTGTTCATCATGAGCTCAGAACTTTAGATGGACCTGTTGATCCATTCGTTTCTTAGTGCATCTAATCTTTACTAATATATCAGTTAGAGCGACTCTCAGACGCGTGGATCAGGCGCCCAGACAGGTGCGTCTGCCATTAGTTAATGATGCACTCCCCTGGTTTCCCGGTGTCAGACAGCAAACCTCCCTCAAACACTGTGAGTACTGTTCAGGCAAGGCAACTATTCCTGATGAACATGAAGACAGTCCAAGTGCACCTGGAATATATTACTGTCATCTCACTCTCCCTCTTTCCACAAAGCCCTGAGTGCATGAAGGTTATCGAAACATAACTCTGCCCACTCACAAAAACTTACAGAGGAGGACTGAAGAAGAAGAAGCATATACTTTTTTTGAATGGATGATAGAAAAAAACACCACTGTAAATTTAAGCTGGATGCCATATGTCAAATGATGTGATTTATCAAAGATGAAACACGCAGTATAGGTGAAAATGTTAAATGGGAGGGATTTTGAAGAACTTAAGGTTCAGTTATTATGAAGTATTGTCCAGTGCTTTTGAGTATCCCTACCAAAAAATGGTACTGGTAATGTCTGAAAAAAACAAAAAAACATGGTTCTTTTTTTTTTTTTTTTTACAGCTTACATAATGAAGTAATAAAGTGTCAGAAACATAATGAATATTATGTTTGGATCAGGTTTCCTGCTGTTGCTTGTCGAAGTAAACTGTTCTAATTGAAAATGTTAATGTGTTCATTTTTCATCTGCACCACCCTGATTCACTAATTGACCATGCACCACACTGATCTATGCTCGCTATGTTGCATGCCAAATAGCCATCAGTTGTGCATACACACAAAAACCTGCACAAAATGTTCACATGCCACAGATATAGCTATTATACTAATCTAAAACAGGGCAGCTGGATACATTACAGCTTGACTGCAACTAGATTTTCACCAGCCAGTGCAACAATACTAGGCAAAATGAAATGAACTTCAGAGCTTTGTATGGATGTATGTGGATGATGAATGTGAATTTCCACTGATTTCTGAGAATATCGAATAGTCATTTGTTATATAAGAAAAGTTGTTTGGTACTGTTCACCATTCTAGCAGATAGTGGAAAGATGCCATCTCTTTGTCTTCATAAAAGATGACAAATGTAATGCAGCTCTCTCTCTCCTGTGATGTCTGAAGGATTTCTTTCAAGCAAGACTTACAACAACTAGGCATGGTAACATTTGGAGATTATAACAGATGTATCAAGTTTGAAATGATCAAGACAGCAACAAGCCTTCAATTTTCAAAGCATGTGGCCATCCAATCCGTCTTGGGCTCAGGCATGCGTTTGTAGAGCTGGGTGCCAATCATGTGAATGACTGGTGTAAACACATTCCATATGAGAAAGAACTAGTCATCATTGATTTCTTTTTGAATATAAACACCATTTGAACAGAGTCCAAATGAGAGCCGGATTGTTAAAAGCAGCAGATAGAGGGAGTCAGGAGTACGGAGCAGAAGCAAAGCTTAATCCACACCCACAAAC